GATTAGTTCTTTCTAGTGAACATCACAGAAAATAGAGGATGGCAATTGATTAATCAAATCAAGATAGGTACTAATCACCAACTCCTATGTTATTACTTTTTTTTCCCACTGAAAAAAATATACAAGAATTCTGCCTTCCCAATTTCTTAAATGACAATAACTTACAATTTCAATTAGCAAACTGCAGCAGTGTAAATTAATAAAATATATCATATTTTTCTTGTATTTTAGCATTTTCAAATGCAGTTTCAATGAGATGCGCTTTATCCAATTTTAACTGGTTATGTTTCTCCAATCTGTATCCCATTACAATATCGATTTTCATTTGTATTATTTGTGATTCTTTTTTATGTATTTAGTACAGGGTGTACAGGGTCTCACTACACAGATTGGACTTATATTTATCCTCCTGTTTTGAGCCTCCTAAGCACTGGGATTACAGGTATGCACTACATGCCCAGTCTCAGTTGCCATCTCAGTGCACTCAAAGGGCAGGGCCAGCACAGCATGCAGGAGATCGAACTCTGGTTCCTGCACCTGCCTAAGCAGGTGCTTTAGCTGAGCTATCTGGTCAGCCCCATTTGGGATTTTTTGCAGATGATGGCTGGAACCCAAGTGAACCTTACTTAAGAAAGGAATTTGTTGGTTCATGTAATTGGGAAGGTTGGGTGCAAAACTGTTTGGATCTTAAGCCTCATGTTATTTAATCAGGACATGGACATACTCTGTGTCATAATTCTGCTTTTGTTTGGGTTAGTGTCATTCACAGATTAGCATTTTTATGAATGGACAGTGATAGCCACCAGCAACTTCATACTGCTTTGCAACACCTGAAAAAAAAGAGACTTCTTGCAAACATTCCAGGGGCCCTTGACAGGTCTAGCCAATAAGCTGATGGAGCTTCCAACCAGGAATGGACTGTTCTGATTGACCAGCCTTGCTGGTGTGATCATTGTTGCCATTAGGGATGCGGTAAAGGCGGTTCCATAAAGGAAAGCCAAGACAACATTTCTAGAGAACAGCAGAATAAATATTCAGCAGAAAGTTCTAGCAAAAGCTCATTTTTGTCAGAAGTGTCCCTTGCTGCAGGGAGAGGAATTGTGATATGATGACCAGAACTACAAAAGAAAGATGGGCTTTGGAATTTGTAGCCATGAGTCCATTCCTAGGTTGGCCACATTTTAGCCTCTTGTCTTTGGAAGGTTCATTGACTTCTGCAGTCCTGTTCTCATCTGCAAAATAGAGGTAGGGTCTGAGAGGCTTGAGCAGGAGGAAAAAGGCAAACTCTGGCACTTCTACTTAGTACAGGGTACCTAATTAAAATGATGGAGTTTTGGCTACTTTTAAAATTTAAACTATTTTACTTTGGCATGTTATATGTTACCTCCCACTGAGGAAGTCACAGATTTCCAAACCTCAGTTTCCTCATATGAAAAAAAAACTTCTTAATTGACTCATGAATATCTATGAAGAGGATACAATATGCAGGTGTCTTTTTCAACATTGATATGACATTGATCAAGACAGTGTCCTGTGTTCTCTTACAGTATTTTAGTGAGGAAAGCAAGTCACAAGTTAAAAAAAAAATGAAAGTGACTAGCTACAATATATGTACTCAGATAAAAACAGGGAAAAGAGGATGGAAACATTTAGAAAGTAGACTCTGAGATTCTTTTAATTTTTAAAATCTTTTTATTTATTTTTATTGGTATAGGGGCTTGCTACACAGGTAGGACTCATAGTGATCCTCCTGTATCAGCCTCTCCAGCACTGGGATTGCGGGTGTGCACTACCATGCCTGGTTTCAGAGCTGTCTCAGTGTGCCAAAAGTTCTGGTACAGGCATGGCATATGGTAGCCAGGATCAAACCCTGGTCCCTGTGTTTGTTTGCCAGGCAGGTTCTTGTCAGGCAGGCACTTAGACCACTGAGCTATCTGTCCAGCTTTGGGTCTGAGATTTTAGTTAAAAGTGAGATAAGACCTTCCTGAGAAAGTGGTATTTGAGTGACATTCCTGAGGAGGTGAGAGAGATCTTCATGACCAAATTCCATTGAGAAGAGGTAAAGAAAAACCCTGAGGTGAGAGTCTGTTGTGGTGGCCAAGGAACACGGGGACGCAAGAGAAGAACAGGCATGGTTGGAAGGCAGCTTGGAGATGCTAAGTCAGGGACACTATTGGCAGAGATAAGGGGTTTGGATTTCATTCTGAGTGTGACAGGAAGCCACTGAAATTCTACACTAGAATTCTGGTTACTGGTAGAAGAAGAGATAACAGTGGATAAGCGGAGACTGTGAGGGGAAAATGCCAATATTCTAGAGACAGAAGATGGAGCCTGGGGAGAGGATGTGTCAGTTCTGACAGGAATTAGAACAAAGGGAACAAGTGTGCTCTTGGTTTGGCTCTAGAGTGTGAGGGAAAGAAGTTTCTTGCTTGAGTAACTGGGTAAATGGTGGGACACTGACTGAGGTGGAGAACACTGAAATGGAAAAGCAGATTTGATTTGGGGGTGGGAAAGGAAGAGTTCAATTTGGAATGCGTTTTAGTCATCAGCTTGAAATGTCAGGTGGGCAATTAGAGTCTAAGAAAGGCCTGGGCTAGAGATATAACCTTGGGAGTCTTCAGTGAATAGGATATATTTTAAGCCACTCAAATAAATATAATTACCTCAGGAATGATTTTAGAGACAGGAGAAAAGACGATTGAGCCTTGTCACATAATGTCAGGGCTTTTTACTTGTGTGTTTCAAGAAAAATGTTCTGAACTCAAAAGATAGACCTAGAAAGAGCTACTTTGCTTGGAATAAGCGTAAGGGCTCAGAGTTCTGAAGACTGAACCTTCCTCTCATTTGCAATAATTTCAGAAATGCCCACAGTACCTCACATGAGGCTTACAGTCTCCAAATAACAAACATTGAAATAGATGGAACACCTCTTATATCCTTGCAGCCCTGGTGGTTGTCCAATCTGTTCCTGGCTTCTGGCCTCATGTATTTGGGTCTCCTGGGTGAGAGAACTAAGGACTCCGGCTGTTTCATGGCTTTGTTATTTCAATAAACAGATTTAGTAGTTTTTCTTAGTAAGATTCAATTAGCAAAAAATTACATAATATCAGAGCTGCAAGTGAGCTCAAAGACCATCTCGTCCAGTCTCTTATATTTACTGAAATGTGAAGGATTCTCCAAAGCAAAATGGACCTGCTCTGGGGAATTCTGGAAAACACAGCTGGGATCTTCCCCTGTGCTCTCTGATTTGCTATGTTGTGGAAAAAATATAATGAAAAAATTTAACTACTCTTTGAAAAAATGAAACTGTACAGTTACGAGAGCCAATTTTTTAGAGATGAGTGAAATCGTGCCCATTAAGGAGGGTATGCTAGAGGGTCTGTGCTAGGGAAGCTATCAGGAACTCGGCAATAACTCTTCTTTGAATGTGATTTATTAGCTTGAGGTTCCTGGATGGGCCCAGTGTTTCTAGATTCCTGGGTTTATGAATGTTTATATGTATGTGCACACATTTGTTTTTCCAGATAGAGAGTTCTTAACAGGTTTTCTAGATTCTTAAGATTAGCTATGATCACTCACCATGAAGATTTTTTTAAAGAAACCTGAAAATCCTTATTGGCAACAAACTATCTAGCCACTTTAGGCTATGTACTATTTTAATCATGTTATGGTTTATGTATAGGTGTCCCCCCAAAGCCTCATGCAGTCTTGGGGCAGCTTCTGGAGTTTGTGGTTGATTATTGTGGGTGTGGATGCTGCACCTGCCCTGGGGCAGGTAATTTGCATTATAATGTAAGGTGGGAAGAGAAGCCAGCTGCTTGAGCTGCTGCTACCTCTCCCTTGTGCTTTTGCTCTTTGTGCCGCCATGAAAGGTTGCCCTCTGCTGTGTGCCACTCTGCCTTGGAGCCAGCTGAGTATGGACTGAAACCTCCAGTGACTGTGAGCTACGTAAACCTTTCCTTCCTCCATTTTGAGTGTCGGGTATTTGTCCCAGCAACAAGAGAAGAGTATTGGTCAGGGTGTTACTTAGAGGAACAGATATAATATAAGGAACAGATATTAACACAAAATATACAATGTGTAAGGAATTACAAGATTGGCTTACTTCGGTCAGCCGCAGAGTCAGATGGAGGAGTGTGCTGAGGAGTTCAGTCCCAAGGTCTGAAGCTCACTGCTGTGCTCCGTGCAAGTCTGCGAGGGAAGGCGATGAAGTCCAAGCCAAATGCGAAGACTGTCCCACAAAGTGGAAGATCAACTACTTCCTCAGCCCGTTTATATGGTCTCTTTGTGATGAGTCACCCTGGGGGCAGAACCAATTGTGCCCCAGGGCGGGATGCCCACCAGCCAGAAGTGCAAAGTCTGGCCAAGTTGACACAATGTATCAACCACTACAAATCATAAGAATGTGGTTACCTATTTTCACTTGTTATTGTCATTATGTATGTCCTACAAAGTAGCAATGCCTCTTGGAAGATAAAAAAAAAAAAAAAGGAGCAACAACAACAAATAAACGGATTAACATAGAGTAAAAAGAAAGGCTTGTAAGTTTTAACCACCAGAAGATCATTAGAATATATGGATGGGCTGGTGAGATGGCTCAGTGTCTAAAGCACCTACTTGGAATAAGCTTGGCAAAGCACAGGGACCGCGGTTCGATCCCCCAGCACCACATGCCAGCCAGCCCCGCGCCCAGGTGGGCTGAGCTGGCCACACACACACACACACACACACACACACACACACAAATAAATAAATAAATGTTTAAAAAAATATTCTATAAAAAAAAAGAATATATGGAAACTTTTTACAACACTCAGCTGTACCATACCTCAACATACCAATTGTTTTTCGCTATGGTATTGTGTAGTAAATATTCCAAAAACAATAAGTCTTAGTAAGCAGGAAGCAATGATTATTTGGTATTTTTTTTCCTTGGAGAAGGACTTTTATTTTCCTATGTTACTCTCCTAACTTCTTTTTATTTTTCCGTGGTAGGACCTGGTGGCCACCGAAATCCAGTTCATCCATGCCTATTTCCTGTAATGGACAAACTTGATGCTAATGTGAGGTATGTTAAGTTTCTGTACAAATTGTTGCCGTTTCTACTAGGAAGCCTCTCAAGAGTGTTGTAGAGTTACAGAAATAATGGATGTAGGTTTTCCTCTGTGTTTCATACAAACCTCACTGTTTTACGAGTGTAGTACTGCTTTGTTAACATTTTATCATTTCAGTTTACATAATAAGTGTAATATGGCTGTAAATGTTTCCAGCTGCCTATACTAACAGTTGCACATTGGCAACTCTTTTAAAAATAGATACTTATTTCTCCAATAAGATGTATTCAAATTGGGTAAAATGGCTTAAGAATATCTATCTGTACATCTAGGTTTTATATATAACTTTGAGTAGCTACTTCTAGCAGCTTCTGGTGTGTTTCTTTCCTGTCAGCCAGGGTATCAGGTTGTATGATATGGTTATGTGACGTAAGATGGTTTGTATGGTATATTTTGTAAAGCTAAATGGTTTTTGTTTTATTTTCTTGTGATTTCCTGCAAAACTCAGAGAAGAAACAGGAAGTTGAGTTTTAGGAATTTTCTTTTTCTTAAAGGTTTGCTCCATTTTATTTGACACAATCAAGTAGTGTACAGAATTATAATGAATAAAGCATAATTAGTATGTCTTTGAAAATGGGATTATTCATAGACATCAGTAGTGGAAAAACTTCCTAAGAAATATATTCCTTGTGAGCAGGTATGGTGCCACACCCCTGGAACCCCAGTGCTCTGAGAGACTGAAGTAGGATTTCAAGCTTGAGCCCACCTTGGACAGCTTAATAACTTAGGAGGCACTGCCTCAAAAGCTTTAGAAAAGGTTAAAGTATATAGCTCATGCTAAAGCCCTGGGTTGGTCCTCCCACCACCACCACCACCACCACCGCCACACCACCACCACCACAAGCAAAGCAAAATGAAACAAAAAACAAAATCCTCATCTGCAGTCACAGGAACCTTTGTCTTTCACTCAAGACACTGGAAAGTTAGTTTGAGGTCTAAAAATTAAAGGCATCATGGCTCTGTGTTTGAGCTACTAAGTGCACTAACTTGATGCAAAGTCTTAGGATTTTCACACAGATTTTCAGGTTAGTGGCATGTATTTAATTTTCCTTTGAAAGCCTGTTAAATTGTTTGCACAGAGAAAGTATAGTGGAACCCAG